TTGTTCTTTTAACTCTGAATTGTATTTATTGATTTAATTGTGTTTTTGTTCTGTTGTAATAAATATCTCTTCCGCGATCAGTAAGTCAAGGTTTATACTTTTTTCTGTACATCTACATTTTTTTTTGGCAATGATGGATGTGACATGGAATAATTCAAACCTTGTCTCTAAACCAGCAAGCCTGAGGCACCACAAATTGGGCACCACAGTTCATAAAGTGCTGACAAAAACATAATACAAAAAAAGAGAGAGACAAACACTGAGTCAGGGAGACATTTCTTAGGCTAACATGAATATATAAAAATAAAAAAAACCCTGACTGGGAGAACTTTGATGGCAAATTTTGGCCTATGATTTGCAGTATCTGAGAGTAGCAGGGCACACCCGGGATCTGTTTTTCCTTAAGGGTCTGATCTTAGTCAAGAAAAGACTGAGAGACCAACACTTAACACATTCAAAGACATCCTTTGAACAAATCACAGCTCAGAGATTTGTGGCACGCTTCTCTGTCTAAATTGTCCTGATCTTAATCTGTTCTTTGTGGCTTATGTCATTTTATGAATACAGTTATGCAGAGGATGGGCACTGACCACAGAACAGCACATTTACTCTGAGATGCTCGTTTCACATAGGCCCGGACCTTATCTTTAAGTGAGGCAAATCCTTAGCCGAAGATGAGAGAGGATTTACCCCCCGGTGGGTTTCTACGACCAGAAGGAACCCCAGCTGCAGGCTGCTCACTTGCAGAGAGGCAAGGTGGAGCTGGTGTGTCATCCTGCTCCTGAATAGGTTCAGGTTCTTCTGTGCTATCTGTGAACATAAAAATGAAAATAAATATTAATTATCAGATAATGTAATAACATTTCATTTAAAATATATGGAAAGAAAATGTTCTTTTTATCTGTTTTATACTAATGTATGTCATTGATCCATTTGTCAGAAAGTTGAAAGTATCAAACTGATATCCTCCGACTGGATGGAATCATAGTCTGACGCAAAAAAAAAAAAAAAAAAAAAAAAAAAATCTGAATCTGTGACAATCATACACTACGTGATTTTCTATAAGATCTGTGAACTCAAATCTATAGACAGGCTCTGACTTTCGGCAACTAGCGTTGACTTACCCAAACTACACTGAACAAAATTATAAACGCAACACTTTTGTTTTTGCCCCCAAAAACAAAAGTGTTGCATTTATAATTTTGTTCAGTGTAAATAGGGGGAAAATCGGGGCAAAAGTTGTGTAGTGTATTCCAGCCTAAAGTGAAAATGATCCAAAAAATATTGGAAACATCTAGCACATGTGCCCAACTGTATGTACTCATTGTATTCATGTTGAACCTTGAATACATATGTGTACACATCTTTATTATTTTTTTCAATTATTTTTTTCAATATTTATATGTTTAATAAAGTTTTTTTTTGCAAATGTCATAAAATATTTATTTATAAATAATATTATTATATTAATATTATTATTCTTGGGGAGTGACATTGTACAACCTGAACTAGCCTTGCTTTGTCATAAAACGATCAAATTAATGGATATTTTAAGAGAAAAGGGTCCGCATGCATGCTTCTGCATGTTAGTTTACCCACATGATTTTTTCTTTATGCCCTCCAAAAATGATTATGAAATAAAAACTATTAAAAAACATGCTCAAGATGTGCATTCACGTAATTTTTTTAAAATAAATTAATAGATCCAAGAAAAAAATTGTCATGTCATTGATGCAAATATGAGTCAGAACACTCACCAACAGTGATTGAGTTTGCCTCACCATTCTGTGCAAAAATAAAGCACAATCTCAGCAATAATTTTTACAAAAAGGTCATAAGTCAGTCTATCCAAGGTCAAGTTTGTTTTCACTCAGTAATGAAATTGTCTCCATATCTTACCACAGGTACATTATTTTCGACTGTGGTGTTACTTTGGTTGGCGGGTTGAGCAGTACATCTTCTGAGAGGGGCAGATGGCTCTCCACACAACACACCTGTAGGCTTCCCACCTTTAAAACAAATTAATGTTCTTGTGTACTGAGGTTATGAACAACAGTGAATACCTACAGCCCAAATGTTCAGACTAAAAGTTGTATTTTGCTCATTGTTATGCATAAAATACACTAATACACTTCAGTAACTATTACAGGACAGCTATACTGCAAACTGAATGCTTTTTAGTTGCAAACAACAAACGTTATTGTCAGGCAGTGCTTTTAGAAAAGCACATGAAAAGACCTGAATTTCTTATCTCACATGGCAACCTGTAAACCTATGTTACAAAATTTACATTACAAAACAACCCAAGCAAAAATTAGCTGAGATTCAGCATTTTAAGCACATTGTGTCTTTTGTGTGTTTAAGAATTAGTAAGACCTAGCAAGTTTTTAAATGTGGAACTGAAACACAGTATGTGGTTGCTCAATATCACACATGCCTAAGTTACCAGTCATTTATCTCTAAAAGTATGAGATTTGAAGCAGCGCATAAACATATACAACCATTAAAATATTTATCATCCATCTTCTCTAAGGTTTAGCCATCTTAAAGGCACTGCCTAGAAGACATATACACATACACACATATATATATATATATATATATATATAAAATAATAAAAAATCAGCACTTGGTGGATTGTTCCTTCGATGGGCATGAGGGTCCTCAGGTTCGGCAAATATACTAAATGCCATTTTGTTTTTCTTCACAGGTTTCTCTTCATCTGTGCCAAAGCAGATGTTTGAACCTCCACCTGGTGGACGCAGCACTCTGGGATGGTAAACAAAGACTCATTAAAATACAACAAAATACGTAGTAAAACAAAATATGTTTAGATATACACCTTGTTTACTTTTATTTTTAAAAGTTCATTGCTTTTGATTATGGTTTCCTGTTCATTCCCTGTCAGCTTTTATGTTTGGCTTCTAAGGACTAAAAATATACAGATTTGTAGTATAATTTAAGCCAATACTCCAATACTAGAATATAATACACACATACCCTAACATAGCATATCGCATTGGTTTTTGGGCAATATCAATCCAAAAGAATGACCCAGCTTGTTATTAAATAAACTGGAGTCTCCATCTCATGTGAGCAATGAGCATCATATTACTTTACCTTCATTTATGACCATATAATTCTCAAAGGCCCTTTTATTTCCTTTATGGATAGAATGTTGTGTAAAATTACTTAGTGCACCTTTAAAAAAAATGTTAGGCTTTAGTAGAGAGAAAATAAGATTAGTTTGGGTAGGGGGTTAAGCATCTTTTCATCCAAATATAATTGTGCAGAAAAACGTGTTTCACAACAGACACAAAAATAGGCCTATATATAATGCAAATAAATCCTAATTCCTCGTACAAGTATTGTTTGATTTAATTTGCTTTATTAGCTTAATTATATTCTGTAAATAAAAACAATTCTCATACTTAATGTCTCATACATTCGTGCCAATAAAGCTTCAATGAACTGAGCTGAAACAGCATGCTGAAGTGCATCTCCCTCCAGCAGTCTATTGGAGAAACGACTGATAAACGACGAAGAATATCTGCAGGTCATTAGTGCATTCAGTTAATGAGACGATAAAACGGATACAACAGAGAGCATAATAAAATTCTCTACACCTACTGAACCGCACCCAACCTTAAATACACACACATGCTCTCAAGCATCCTCCCGTACTCTGAAAGTCTGGAGAGGGACCGGTTTCACATTTACAAACGATTGATGGAATGCACTGAAGAAGCTGTACTAGTTCCTCATCAATTATGTTATTAATTATGTCCTTTTGTAGATGCTGCAGTCAAAGGCCGTGTCACAAAGCCTAGCGAGCTGCCTGCTTAGACAGCATTTTGGAGCATTAAAATATACATTTAGCAGACTTGAAAAGCGACAGCGATGCCTCAAAAATGCAGCACGCGTTTCTGGTATCCCTCAAAAGACGTCTAACGTAAGGCAGCTAACAAGATTTTCAGACACTGCCGGAGGATGCACATACTGTTACAACAAAACTGGCATTTTATAAACCGGAAAATCCAGTAAACTTTGCCTTTGATCTAACAGTTAGTGTGTAACATTTTATCCCCAAAACGCAGCATTTGTGCCACAGATAGTGCTCATTTCTCATTAGCGTCGCCACTCGTTTTTACACCAATAATAAGTAATTTTGTCAGTGATATTACATCTCAAATAACGTCTTTAGACATTACAACGGTTAAATAATTTGTTGTTTACTACAACCTAAAGCGCTTGAGCATTGTTATCTTCCTACAGACATCTATCAGCACCTGGAGCTGCTCCTCGCGGTCGGGTCCATGCCTTGAAAAGTGGTGGTGGTCGTCATCTTGAACACCCAAAACTTCTGTTCACGGCTTCTCCCAAACTATATTCGCCAGATTATTGTCATCAAGCCACAAAGAGCGTTTCCCGCTCAAGTCATCAGTCTCGGTGCGGAATCTGCGCTCCAGTACACGCCCATTAGACGCGATTATTGCTGCACTTCTGCAGATTCGCCACTGGAGCGGCGCCAGACAGCAAACTGTTTTTGTGAAAATACAGCTGCGGTCGTAAGTTTAGAATAAAACCTGTCGACAACTTAAGGACACATACAAAACTATACAAAACAAGCAAACATTCACTAATGCTCAAGAACACGATGATCAGGGTAAATTGTATTTATTCTATCTTTTGGGTAATATTTAGGTAATGAAGAATCAAAATCAGTCACTGCTTGGAAAAACATGCAAACATTTTTTCAAGCAATTTAGTTTTGTGGACTATATGTAATGATTTGTTTTGTGATAGCTTATTTATTGCAACACTGAATCAGTATTTTTCATGAGCCCTCTTATTTTGTTACATTTTGCAGATTCTGCAACTTGTAAACCACAACTGCTGTACCATTAAGGAAAATAATAAATGAGTTATAAAAGTGGGTTTGTAAAATAGTTTTATTCCAACAAAATTTCAATTCACAATTCAAACATTTCAATTCACAACACAAGATACTGAATAAAACTGGCCGGAGTACAAAAGAGAAATACATAAACATATAAAACATATATAAAAAGCCCAATGGCTTCAGAGTAAACAAAACAGTACTTCAGCACTGACACTGACTGTAATTCTATCTATTAACCCAAAAAAAGAAAGATCTGATCACTGATCAAAAGCATTTTAGTCTGGACACTCTTAAGTTCACATCTGATGAAATAAATGAATACGTTTACAACATCATTCATCTGATTTGCGAGAGCTGGTGGGCATTTTAGGCAAGCTTTTGGCAATGTGAAGAGAGGTCAGCCTAAATTTATATAAAAAAAAAAACAGGAAACAGGGAGGACTATGGTGATGGAAGGCAGAGGTAGTTGTTATTTACATCAGGCCCCCTGTCTGTTGCTGAAATACATCAATTGTATCCTCATTCTCCATTTCTAACTAGAAATAAATAAATAAATAAATCAGACTTTATAGCATACTAAAAGGATTGTGACATGCAGAACTGGTCATATCAGTGAACTGTACCTGAGCTGGTGTGTCAGTCTCATTAATTGGCTGCCCATCAAACTGGAACCGAATCTGCCGCATTGCTAGCCCCTGTTCAAAACAGATAAAATGTGGACCTGAGAGTTAAGTGAAGTAACCCTGAACACCTTGATTAGCTGGTTCAGGTGTGTTTAATTGGGGTTGAAACTGAAATCTGCAGGACCGTAGCTCTCCAGGACCAGGGTTGGATGCCCCTGTCGTAAAAACAACACTCAGTGGTTGTTTACATGGGCACTTTTTGTTTCAATTGGAGTTAAATCATTCTGATTGATGAATCCAAAAAGAGTGTTTACATGATAGCTAAATAAAGTGATTGGGTTGATGTGCGTGTTTATGTGTTAGCTTCAATATCAGGTTTGCCCTTTTGACATGTGCACACTGCACAAATATACAGAGTTTCCCGCTGTTAGCACATAAAATTCTCCTGCCATTGCCTTTCTTTGTTTTAAAGAGCAGAGTTAATATGTATCTATTTCAGGTCCTAATTAGGAGACAAGCACATGAAACTTTGTGCCATGCTGCTTTTATTTATCAAGCCGTAAAATCACCCAGTCCTGTGGCCAAAACAAGCCATCTGTGGATGAGAGTATAAAGTGAGGACTGATTATGACGTTGTTCTGCTCCATTTCACAGATGATGAGTGGAAGGAAAATTTTAGAATATCATGACAGTCATTTATGACACTTCAATCCAAAAAAACAACAACAGCTTTTTAGATAATTTTTCAATAATTTTTTCATGCTTCCACAACTGGAGCCTGCTTTAACAGATGTACCGTCAACTCTGGTGTTCGGCAGAGATGAGGACTGTTTAAAAGTTTTTTTCCCTCTAAAACTTTGATGCGCATCGTCCCAGTTTATTACAACAACATAAAAAAGATGTGATTGCAAAACAATCAGGAAAAAAGGCATTAGTCGCAGTGGCAATCTAGGCACAACTATATCACTCGCAAATTAATATTTTTGGTCGCAAATGTGACTGTTTTAGGTGCAGTCTGGAGCCCTGTACTACACATGCTGATCATGTTAGTCATGCTTCTGCCCACACCAACATACATAATATTCCTCACAGAACATCTAGACAGGTGGAGCTGGGGGAGGTAGAGGGTTTCAAAGGAACTCTGATAATGCAATACCGGACTAGCTTACAGCATATACTGAAACAGACTATTTAAATGTTGAGCCACCAAGCTCATTTGCTGGAGATACATACAGCTGATATTTTTATCCAAATTATAACCAATTATTTCCAAAAATTCATGTCATCTTTACCAATCTCTTATTGGCCAGTAGGCACAACACAGTCCTGTGCACCTAAATGAAGGATTATTATTTTTGTCAGGGAAGGTAAAAGTTGCAGGTGCATAAAAGCACTTACCTGTCTCTCACAATATGCTTTCATCAGTTTGTTGAGGGGTGTGTGGCTCTTGATTTTGAACTGAACCACTGAGCCATCCTGCCCGGCTACTTTCAGATTTATGTGGTCACTCGTTTTCACACCCTCCTGAAACAAAAGTGAAATAAAGCCACCATAAATAATTATTGTCCAATGGAAAAAATATAGAAGAACAACAAACAACAAATAAAGTTATTGATTGATTTAGTGCACCATAGCATCTTAGAGATAGGAATCAAAGAAAGGTACCCAAACAATCATAAACAAATTTAGTTCAATAAAAGCGTTTTCATAACGCGAACAAGTGGCAAAACAAGTGTGCTTTGCTTTCACCCACTTAAAATAACATTGTCCTCCAAAGATTAAACCAGGGGTGTCCAAACACGGTCCTGGAGGGCCTGTGTCCTGCAGAGTTTAGCTCCAACTTGCCTCAACACACCTGCCTGGAAGTTTCTAGCATGCCTAGTAACATATCCACTAGAAGGCAAGCCTGCAACCTTTAGCCAAATAAACATAACAGCTAATGCTAACGCTTCCGCTTTGGCAGTACGTGGGAAAGGAGACCAGAGAGCATTTTTTTTTTTTTAATGAATGAATGAATGTCAATGGAGGAGAGGCTTCACTACGCTGAATAAACAGCTTTTATGAGGAAACAGCTTATTTAATGAATCGACATGCCTATCCACTAATCTTCAACATGTTTTACAATACTTTTGGATTTAACTATTTTTAGAGTTTACACCGAAAAAAATCAGTTTTATAAGAGAAGTCACTGACTTCTTGCTACAGGTGGGATTCAGCTTAAGGCACTTCTCATTTATTCCTATGGTATCCATAACCGGAGATTGAGTATCACACAACCCTGACTGAAATTCAATGACGTCAATGACGTTTCTTCAATAGTAAGTAATACAGACCCTCTCATCTCCCAATAAGAAGACTATCTCTGGCTAGTAAGACCTTGATTAGCTGGTTCTTGATTAGCTGGACTTTAAAGGGATAGTTGACCCAAAAATAAAATGTTGATGTTTATCTGCTTACCCCCAGGGCATCCAAGATGTAGGTGACTTTGTTTCTTCAGTAGAACACAAACGAAGATTTTTAACTCAAACTGTTGCAGTCTGTCAGTCATATAATGGCAGCCAATGGGCTCCATGACTTTGAGAGTCAAAAAAAAAAACATACACAGACAAAACCAATGAGTGGAGTATACGCGCGACAGATCGCTTCCGCTCATGCGTCTACTATGCCAGAGCACGTACACACGTCACGTGCCGGATGTTGTGAACGCGCTCAGGCCAGTTGGACATTGCGGTGGATCAGAGGTAAAAAATTATATAAATACTGTTCAGTTTCTTGCACAGACCGATCGTTTCATGTCTTAAGACCTCAATGTATCGTCACAAGCCGCAGGGTTTAATTTGGTTAAAAAATCTTAATTTGTGTTCTACTGAAGAAACAAAGTCACCTACATCTTGGATGCCCTGGGGGTAAGCAGTGTTGTGAACGCGCTCAGGACAGTTGGACATTGCGGTGGATCAGAGGTAAAAAATTATATAAATACTGTTCAGTTTCTTGCACAGACCGATCGTTTCATGTCTTAAGACCTCAATGTATCGTCATGAGCCGCAGGGTTTAATTTGGTTTTGTCTGTGTGTTTTTTTTTTTTTTACTCTCAAAGCCATAGAGTCCATTGACTGCCATTATATGACTGACAGACTGCATCGGTTTGAGTTAAAAATCTTAGTTTGTGTTCTACTGAAGAAACAAACTCACCTACATTTTGGATTCCCTGGGGGTAGTGTTGTCAGCTCGTGTACTGAAGCTCGTGGTGTTTTCAGCCTCTGCCACCTCAATATATGAGTACATGAACACATAAACATAATCTCTAGAACTGCTCTGAGTCACTTCATGAGCATTTTACTTATTTTGAGAAAACTATCGTCATATCATATACAAAGAGACACCAATGTTTCAGGAGTTTAGTACACAGAATAGGACACATGCTTATTAGATAACCGTATTTGAGTTGATGTATATGCTTTTATTTATTATTATTTTTTAATTAACTATTTTTTACAAACCATTGTTGGATGCAGTGTTTCCTGTAGTTATGCAAAGATTTCTTATCTATTAACTATTTCTTATGATTTTAAATCTGCATTGAACTTCAGATCAATCTCAAAGTAAAAGGCGGTACTAACCGGTACTATTCACTAATGAATTGTGAATCTAAAATATGCGTGTTAGAGAATGTAACTTTGTTTTTATTCTTGGCTGAATAACTCTAGGTTTTCAAAAGCCCTTTAAAATTAAATATGTACACAGTTTGGATTAAATGAAAGTATAGTCACATTTTTTAATTAGCATGTTTTTGTGTTTTGCTTTGGTACCGAAATTGGTACCGAGAATCGTGGATTTTCACTGGTATTGGTACCGAATACTGACATTTTGGTACCGTGACAACACTATCTGGGGGTAAGCAGATAAACATCAAATTTTCATTTTTGGTTGAACTATCCCTTTAATTCGGGTTGGAGCTAAACTGCAGGACAGTGGCCCTCCAGAACCTAGGTTGGACACCCCTGGTCTAAGCCATTTAATAAAGTAATAAAGAGATGCATGCTTTGAACAATAGAACAGAAATAAACCCACAGTTCCACATGATAGTGGCACCACAACACTGATAAGGTTTCAAATTAAGTGATTTGTTTACAGCACATAATACAGTAGTAGAGTTTGTCTGTCAATAAAGCAAACAACTGAGATTCTCATAATACTCCAGAGATGCAGAACTTTTTTTCAAATATTAAAGTCTAAAAACAAAACAAATAAATACAATGAAATAAAAATGGCTATGATGCAGTTAAAACACAAAGAAACTCGTGTAAATCGGAACACACCTTATCATACACTGCAAAACCACAAAATGAATCCGTTACAAATCAACGCAAGTTGAAATAAATGCACCGAAAGAGACCAGCGCTTTGCGCGCGAACAGTCGCAGTGGACCCCACTGGTACAGTGCTTCACTGTCTTATCACTTGCCTTTTGTATGAGGTGCGAGCCACATTAGCGAACTAGATAATTAGCGTGTTATCTTTATGAAAGACCATAACAATATTTAATAAATGACAGACAATAAATAATAAATGAGAGAGAGGGAAAAAATGTTCCTTATAAATGGTACCCATTAATCATATAACGTTAACGTTACCAATGAATTATCGTGCTTATTCGAACATTTATAAAAACCCATACACGCACCTTTGGCTTCTCGTCTGCCATAACTGTCTCTGCTGTCTCAAATAGTGATGTTAGGTTCTTGAACGAATCGTTCTTTTGAGCCGGTTCTCAGGAAGTAACCGGTTGAGCCGGTTCACAGATCGAACTGAATCAAACTTTAGTTCCGGGTTGAAGACGCAGGACGCACAGCCGAAGTAGCACGTCCAACTCAAAAAGAACCGAATGAGCCGGTTCAACCAATTGTCGAAGTTTGCCGAGGATTACCGAGGACTCAACAAGAACCGAATGAGCCGTGGCGAAGTTTGCCGAGGATTACCGAAGATTCTGATGAGTGAGTTGATGATACTGTGCAAGCCTGAGGCGCGTACTGGAAATATGCTTGTTTATTATGACTGTTATTAATTTACATTTTATTAAAACCTGCAAAAACCTTTCTGTCGAGTGATGTAAATAAATTTTACAATAGTTTATTGTGCATGCATATTATATTTAAAGTTGCTTAAGCGAAATCAAGGAGTTTATAAGACTGGTTTATTCATTCTTTATACTGTAGACATGTAGAACATATCCGCATTTGTGCATCAATGTCTGTAATGTGTGCTGTAGGTGCGAAACTTTTAGGAATCTTATCCAAGTTGTAGGCTTGTCAATATTGGTCATCATGAGGATCCGCGAATGAAAGTGTGACCACAAACACCATTAACTTAAGTGAATTGTATGGTAATAATCAGCTATATGCTTTCACACAAATAACTTTATTTTTGAATGTTTCAATATGCGTCGACACGAATGACTTATTTGAATGTTTCATTGATACAACATGGCACTGAGTTGTTAGAAAAGAAATGCGTATTGCTTGATGACGTCAGGAACCGATGAATCGGCTTTTGAACCGGTTCAATGAGCCGATCTGTCCGAAAAGAACCGGTTCGCGGAAATGAATCGGACTTTGGATCACTAGTCTCAAACACACGATACGCGCGTAATGCCACGCGTGACGACATTTAAAAGGGTCAATTTCCGGAGTCCCATTACTGACCCTTGTCCTCCCTGTTACCTTTATAGACAAAGAGGGAGGAATGTCACCAGCTGCATTTTAGCAGCCAAGTTGAGTGTGCGTAATTTGGGCAAAACTAAAAAAAAAAAACCAGCAAACACATTATACCACTGTAAAATTCATAGAATTGTTCAAAACAATATATTTATTTGTCTTTAAAACAGTATACATTGCATTCAATTGAAGATTTTCCTTTAAAATCTAAAAACAATAGCATCATCTGAAGATTTATGAAGCTCTTCTCAGAAATAATTTAGAAAGTCAATTTTATTTATATTTTTTCCCCCTCTCTCTCTCTCTCACACACACACACACACACACACACACGCACGCACGCACGCACGCACACAATCATTCAGTAAAATACACTACTAGACACATCCAGGCTGCCGTAAAAAAAAATAAAAAAAAACCCATTTAAAAAAAATTAAAGGGGACAACTAAAGGCTTTCATTCCTTCCATAAGACCACACTGCAAACACAACTTTTAACAGGCAACGTTTATAATATAAATAATGGCATCTTCAATAACCCCCAAAATGTAAAGTTTGTCTTTTTAAAACATCAAAACAACTTCCTGTCCAATTATATACAAAAAGACAGAAATCAGAAAATAAGTGATTCCTTCCAGATGTGTAAAAAAGGAAATAAAGTGAAACCGATACTTTGCATACATCCAAAAACACAGAATTCAAAGTATGCGTTGCACCATTTTGTGTGACTTAATGTTATCTGATGTAAAACAAATTAAATTGGGCTTTAAACCATTGAGGCCAGCCATGTCAAACACCACAAATCTGATAAATAGTAATGAAATAAATATGTAAAACTCAGAAAGAATATCCATAGAATTCACAAAGCACAAAAACACAACTGATGCATCACATCAAGGGAAACAGATTGAAAGAAAAGATGTAACATGTCCAGTGCTATCACATTAACCCTCCACTGCATTCAGGGTGAGGTATGAGTTGAATAGTTTAGTGGTGGCTAACAATTAAATTATGACTCAAACACTCATAGGCAACATATTTATATTAATAACAACAGCACCTAATGACCAAGACATCAAGACATTTGTGGGATTACTCAGAGATTGGGTTTATCACCCAGCGTGTCAAAGGTAAAGTCCTGGACATAAAATCTCTTTGTGACACTGCCGACGGCTCATCCATGCACTCATGATTTGTCTTCATGAGTATTAACGCTTACACAGCTATAAATGACCCCATCTTTCCACTGGAGGGAACTTGTCTATCTCTCCAGACTCTGTGACCTGTCGATCTCCAAGGATGAATGTCAACTTGTACCTCATTCTCACTTTCTCCTGAAAAACATTATGTATTTAACAATCATTTAGTTTATCATATAAATTGTATCATGTAAGCACACAAGCAATTGCTTGATATATAACACTAGCAAAAGTTCATCTAAATCGTGCCAAATATTGCTGAGTTTAGCAATTTAGTCATTCTCAAAATATGGTGACAAGCATTTCCCTTAACCCTATTTTGTTTTACACAAAACCCTTGTCCTCATTTATTGATTTATTTTGTTTTCTTAGGTTAGTGTAAGGTCTAACAAGTTTGCAAAAGAGAAAACAATATAATTAATAATATAAATTATTACGGGAAATTCATGCTGCCATTTCTGTTGCAATATAACAAAGAGTGAAAAATTTAAGGGGGTCTGAATACTTTCCGTACCCACTGTATGAGAAACCGCAAACAGCAATTTCGTCGCAGTCCGGAGCCCTGTATAGTGAGAATATAATAAGTGTTAGAACACTTATTTTATTTTACTTAACATTTGGACAAAGGGGCACAAGTCAAATTGTTTATTATGATTAAAACCGAACCTTGCTATATCAGAAAGGCAATATTTTTTGAAAATGACCCATTTTTACTTCTACAGTAGGCAACAGACACATACCTGTCAACTCTCCCGTTTTTCCCAGGATTCTCCCGTATTTTACCATTCTATCCCGCTATCATCCCGTTTAAATATTTTCCCGTAATTCTCCCATATTTTTAATCTTTCTATAAAAAACAAAAACCCACTGGACGTATTTAATATGTTTGCTACATTCGCTTCCGGTAAAACTCCCGTAATTTGTATGGCCCAAACCTCATTATACGAATAATCACGTCAACAAATTCCAAGGTTGTTGCCAGATCTTGTATGAAACGAATCTTTCTCAC